TGCAATCCGCACTAATTCGGGAAAGAATAAGCGAAAGGCGATTGCTTTACTATTAATTTTATTGTAACAATTAACGAAACGATGGATCGAGATTAAGATTCACATACAAGACGACGCATCGATTCATTTTATTTCCAATGGATTCCGCACTTTTTTTGAGACAACTGGCGCTGGGGTAGCCGTCGCTACAATCACTGGTTTTCTAGCGTCTTCTATGCTTAAACAACGGTGAATTAGAGAACTACGTCGAACAAAATGATATCCTTTACAGTGTTGTCAATTGTATATTTTCTGCACAGACGAGGCAGAAATACATAAACCTCGTCTATGCCACTAGATGCATTTGATACAAGAAATTAGTATCTAAAACGTTTTATATTATGCATCTGTGTATATATCACAAAATAGCTCCGTGTTTTAATATTAATATACATTTCATGTATATAATTATATATACTTCGTTGTTTTTAAAAAGGATTTTTTAAAATGGTTTTTTTATTTTGATTGGCAACTGATTAACTGCCGTATATTTATTTAATTTTTAAATGGCCACCAATCGAAATAAAATTTGAAGGGCATGAGATGTGAAACTTCAAAGATATAAAATCTTGACTTCGAGAATTCTCTGTTTAGGAGGTAGATCAATTCAATTTTACGAAATCTATTATATATATATAATATAAAATATGAACAAGCAATTAGCAGCTAACGTTATCTCTGATTTACGCCAAATCATCGCAATTCTTTTGAAAGAATATAACAGAGATATAATATTCTCTTCTCCTTCTTTTTTATAACACAAAAGATCTTTGTGTCTCGATCTTCCAAAGCATCACCGCTCAGATCCTTCGTAATTGCATCGGGCCTAATTCGAGCGTTTAGAGTAAACAAAAGCACGCGTAACTTTCAAGAAGCACAAGTATATCCATATGTATAAACATCTATAGCAGCCGATTGGGAACATTGTCACCACGTAATTCTTAACTAATTTTTATACTACTTTCTGTGTCTTTCATTGTCTTTTATACGTTAGGTATCACAAAATTATCTGCCGAACAGTTAAATTTTCGAATTCGACAAACATCTCAGAGGAGAGAAGCGGATAAATTGGAATAATATCCTTATTTTGTACTGAGATTTAATTAATTGGACTGTAATTCCGTCCCGGGGACGAATCGCGTGACATTTAAAAAGACTATAGAGAAGCGGCCAGGACCTCAAATATAAAATTTTAGCTTCGGCTAGTTTTTAAAATATTAGAGAATTGAAAAATTAAATTCTGCGTATTATAATATTATAAACATTACTAATGTATAGACTAATATAATGTTAAAAATTCGAGAAATTCTAACACTTCGTCCTCTAATCCTAATGATCACAGTTTAATAGAATAGCGAAAGAAGTTGTACAGCAATATAAGGAATAATTATAAAATTGTATATATTAAGAAGATTTGCGGTTCATCCGAATCGTTCGAGAGCTTGTATTGAATTGCTTGTCCACCTCACCTGCCATGATCATCGTTTTTTGTCATAAGACTGTAGTCTTATTTTTTCTAACAATCCTCGGCGTTTATGTTACAGTTATGTTTACAGTTCTATTATGTGGATTCTATATACATACTACTGAACTTCTTTACAGCAAGTTTTAAGATATCACTGAAAAAAGACATAATTTAAATTTTCTATGGTGGATTTCCAGACATAAAAAAAACTCTTAATATTTTTAAAAACGTTTGAAATTTTACAAGTGTAGAAATTTCTTCCATTTCTCACTTGCTACATAATATAAAAATATCTTTAAAAAAACAACAGTTCAGAGTGATCGAAACAGAAGCTTTATATTTTAAAAAGAATTCAAGTAAACTGTAACATGATTTTTTTTACGAAGTTATGATAAGTAATCTTGTATTCTTAATTATTCTAAAGGTTTGTTCAAATTACCTGGGTGAGAGTATTTGACATTTCGGAATTCAGTTGAATCTAATCGGATAATTTTGATCGAGCTCGAGCGAATACCTGACTCTAAGACAACAAA